CCAAGAATTGACCAATAAACGTCAAGAGTCACCTCCCCCCCAGAGACTTGCGAATTGGGACCGGAGAAGAGGATAACATTCATTGATTAACTTCGGATCAAAATTCGCAAAGTAAGTCAGTCTTTTGTCAATGAAAGTGAAGTGCCAAATATATAGTTGTTTTATATGAATAACATGTGTCTCAGACTAGCTAATAATTCAAGTAATTAATACAAAATATAATTAAAAAATGTGTTTATAGATAAAGCGACCAAGCATAACAAAGCATAACATTACAGTTTACTACAGCTTTACCAGTTGCAACATTAAAATGATTGTTACACACTAAGGCATCACTAATTATAATTCAATTACTGTAATATAGTGTACATTATGCTTCTACTTTTAGTACTTTTACTATATTTTTATGCTAAACTAACTTTTTTTTAGCTAACGTTAAGTAGGCTAACATTTTGAATGCATTACATTTAACTGTTACTTGTAATAGAGCAAAGGAAATTTAAAAGAGGGGGAAGTAGTGGTATAACAATGGTATAATAATGGTATAATAATTATTGAAAAAATGACATCTTACTCTGGGATCATTCTGAGATTCTGATATGTAAATCAACATTTTAAGCCTGTTAGAAAAATATAGACACACAAAGCATAATATATAATCAACATTACAAGGTAGAAAAATATAGACACACAAAGCATAATATATAATCAACATTACAAGGTAGAAAAATATAGACACACAAAGCATAATATATAATCAACATTACAAGGTAGAAAAATATAGACACACAAAGCATAATATATAATCAACATTACAAGGTAGAAAAATATAGACACACAAAGCATAATATATAATCAACATTACAAGGTAGAAAAATATAGACACACAAAGCATAATATATAATCAACATTACAAGGTAGAAAAATATAGACACACAAAGCATAATATATAATCAACATTACAAGGTAGAAAAATAGACACACAAAGCATAATATATAATCACATTACAAGGTGATCATGAGTAAATATAGTAATGTAATATGCACGGCTGTATTAACTAATGTGTTACCAAATGTGTTTGTCTGTTTCTTTCTCTAAAGTCTTTATATCTTCAAACATTTTTATTTATTTAGATGGAACCTCGCTTCAGGAGACGAGCTGATGGCAGCCTGAATCTGACTGATACAATGGAAGCGGCAAAGGTGAAGGAGGCCAACAAAGGAAAGCCGTACACAAGACCCCTGTCCCCTGACATAGTGCTGGACAAGGCCAAGAAAAGCTTAAATCAGCACCACGGAGATCTAGCTAACAGAAAGCACCTGCTGGGTTTCTTTGAAATCCAGTTTGGGGTATTTCGAGGGCAAACATTCAAGTGGGTGGCTGAAAATGCCCTGGGGTATGCAGCTTACTTGGTGGCAGCTATGAAGAGGGACCCCACAGGAGGCAGCAAAGACTCCCAAGAACATGCCCACAACAAAGAGAGTTTCAGGGAGTATTTTGAGCTCTTTCCTTCTGGCAGAATTGCCATTGCCATGAAGGAAGAGCAATATGCTGGGAAAGCTCTCCAGCACGCTACCACCACCCAGCACGCTACCACCACCCAGCACGCTACCTCCACCCAGCACGCTACCACCACCCAGCACGCTACCACCACCCAGCACGCTGCCACCACCCAGCACGCTACCACCACCCAACACGCTGCCTCCACCCAGCATGCTACCATCACCACCCAGCACGCTACCATCACCTCCCAGCACGCTACCACCACCCAGCACGCTGCCTCCACCCAGCACGCTACAACCACCACCCAGCACGCTGCCTCCACCCAGCACGCTACAACCACCACCCAGCACGCTGCCTCCACCCATACTTCCACCGCCTCTCTCCGCTCCCTCTTGTTTAGGAAGTTGCCTAACCAGAAAAGCCTGACCAAGACCATTGAAAGGCTGGTTTCCCCCGTCAAATCCACACCTTGTAAGCAAACATTTATTTGTATAACACTTTTTTGGTGTGTTTAGTATTTATTGCTTTGTAGGATTTTAGGATTTATTGTTCTGTAGTCATGTTTATCTGTTCTGTGTTTTGTTTTGTAGCTTTGGCCCAGGCACGTACGCGGCCCTCAGCCACCCTCACTCGCCCGACTGTGTCCATTGAGGCAGGCACAGGGACCTCAGCAATCCTCAATAACCCGACTGTGTCCATTGAGGCAGCCACAGGGACCTCAGCTATCCTCACTCGCCCGACTGTGTCCATTGAGATAGATGACAGCACACTGCTGGCAGAGGCAACTAAGTTTGAGATGGCACATCTGGCATGTACGTTTATACTTATTTAAAATATGCAACAAAATATTCAAGTTCCATTCCAGGGATAAAAAAGTTAAGGGAAGTTATTGTGAATTTGCACTTGTTGTATTTATTATTTTTTTTGTTTTTTTCCCCAGCACAACGAGTCTGTCTTTCATCTGGATGGATACACACTCTGCCTGAAGTGGATCAGAGGTGGATTTCCAAGGCCCTGTTCAGGTGGACAGCACAGGGCCATCCTGAGCTGATCTTTAGCAGGGTGGACAAACTTTGGTGGTATCCTCCACAGGTTCCACTGAAGACCAGTAATTGCCCTCCCTTAGAGAACTACTTTGGCCATCCCCTGCTGCTCTGGATGCCACGAAAACTGTGGCAAGTGAAGCTGACCTGTCCACATCCAGACTGTCAGAAAGACCTTCTGACCTCAGCTGGCTTGCATCAAAAGATCAGGCAGGTGTTTGCCTTGGGTAAGATATACTTTGTGGCATCTGAGTACCTGGCCTGCCGAAGATGTAAGAGGAAAGTCATCAGCTGGAGCCATGATATCGTCTCCCAGCTCGACATTGGCCACAGGGTGCAGTTCCCTTGCATTCTTACATCAAAACTTGCATGTGACGTCGAGGTAGTATGTTTGATGCGTCAGCGAGGGCTGGGAAACAGCAGCAGCCAGATCCAGCGCAAGCTGCAGGAACGTCATACTGAGGTGTGGTTGCAAAAGACAGTCCAGTATCTGACAGATTGCAAGGGGATTGCCAGTGCTGTCACTTCGAGCCTGATCCTGCCTGTGACATTTGAATCTGCTCCTTCAATGCCTTCTGTCCCTAAGCATCGGTGGCTGATGCAGGTGTACGCCCAGGATGTCCTGCAAAGGCTGGATGAGATCAAGGCCACTATCACATCGCAATATGGTCGGATCTTAAAAATGGATTCAACAAAAAAAGTGGCCAGAAAACTAGCTGGACGCAGCTATGGCACTGCTACCTGGGCAACCAATGTTGGTAATGAGCACGGACAGGTGATCATGTCCGTGCTCACAGCCAGTGAAGGTTTTGGTCTCGGGCCAATGATTGAAGGCCTCATTAAAAGATACAGAGTGGCTGGGGTGGCTCCTCCCGAGATACTGTATGTTGACCGAGACTGCTGTGGCAACACTCTTCTGAGAAGAATGTTTGAAGAGTGGGAGCAAATGATCATCCGTTTGGATGTATGGCACTTCATGCGGAGGTTTGCTGTGGGTTGCACCACTGACTCTCATCAGTTGTATGCCACATTTATGAGTCGCCTCAGCCACTGTATTTTCATGTGGGACCAGGTTGACCTGACGGCCCTGAAGAAGGCAAAGCATGCAGAGCTAGAAGCTAACTGGAAACCTACATCCGAGGCTGATGTGCTGCGCAGTCTCAGCCGTAACGAGCTAGCCCTACATTGCAGGAGAACCACTCGCGGGACCAAGGACACCCTGGCGCTGATTGAGAGCCATATTCAGGCCTTTGATGGAGATGCTGGTCGTGACACTATGGGAGTCCCACTAATAAACTCAGCCCGGATGAGAGAGATATTGAAGTCCCAGCGGAAGCATGTGGCCTGCATCCAGGATCCTGTAGGTGTGCAGCTCTACATGCAGACGGGCACTGTAGTGAAGGGAGGGCACCGTCTGCCAACCTACCGCTGTGCCAGAGGTTCCACTTCGCTTGAGTCATTTCACCTGCACCTTAACAGATTCATCCCAGGTAAATAAGTGACTTAACTGAATTATTAAAATAAGATTTGATTTAATTATATATTAAAATAACTATGGGAACAGCTATTTGTGTATCCATATGACATTTTTGTGTGGTCTTATTTTTCTTTTTTGAATTTACAGGTACGCTGGCGAGTGACACCTTCTTCCAGGTGTATCTTTTGGATGGACTTGCAAGGTGGAATGAGGACCGGGCTGTGGCAGCAACAACTGATGAGCAGCAGCCCCATTCCTACAATCATCTTCTGCGTCATGCTGTCAATACTCTTGCAGAGGAGGTTATGGGCAAGAAAATCAACCCTTATGTTGGGCCAAGAAAGTACACTGGTAGATAACTATTTGTTGTTTTTGGTCACATTTTTTTTTAAGTGTACACATACCATTTAACCTCTGTATTATAATATAATATCCTGGTATATTATCTAATTTTCAATGTTTTAATATTTTAAAGGTGAGCTTATTGGAGTGGAATACCTTTACCAGCAAACTGGTAAAGTTCTGCAGGACTACAAGTTGGCCATTGAAGAGTCCGAGACCACTGAGGTTGGTATAGAAGTGGATGAAGGTTATGCTGAACTTGAGGAGTTTCAGGACATCACTGTCCCCACCTTTGACACAGAACGGACACCTGTTGCCTCTTCACAAGCATCAGTGTCTGCAGCATCATCTCCAACCCCTCCTGTCACCAGCTCCATTTCATCATTGTCTGTGGTTCCTCCATCACCAGTGACATCTCCTGTCACCAGCTCCATTTCATCATTGTCTGTGGTTCCTCCATCACCAGTGACATCTGTCACCTGCTCCATTTCATCATCGTCTGTGGTCCCTCCGTCTCCTGTCACCAGCCCACTGCACAGTCATTCAAAGCCAGGACTCTTTCCTGGAGCACATAGCTGTGAGTTTACCAAAGTATCTATATAGAGTTATTGTGACAACAATTATCACCACCTCTATGTATATATGTCTTATTGAAAGGCAAAAATACAAATTTAAACTGAATGTTTGCCTTTTTCATGTAGTTCCAGGGGACCAATTATCAGCTGAAACTGGTCTTCTGACATCTGAAGAGAACACTTCACATGATGTAAGGGCCCAGTGTACATTTACATCTGTAAACAAAATCTTAGTTATGTTTGCTGTGCTTTCATGTAAATATTTGTATTCATTGCTGCTATCAAAAATTCCTAAATTATCTTTTATTTTAGGATTCTGTTGGACCTGATAATATTGGGGGGTATGGAGCCGTGCAGGACTTGGCAGAGTTCTTGGTTAGCCTCAGAGACCACCGTCTGGCCTTGACTGGAGAAGAGTGCGTCAAGATCATCACCCTATGGCAGGCATTGGGGGAGTATGACAAGAGGAAAACCATTTACCCACGACGTCACCAAACCTCCCTAAAACAGGGACGATTCAGAGCCACTAAGAAGATTGTGGCACCAGGTGTGGAGAGCACCAAAAGGTATGTTAAATTTAGCAAACACAGGTTCTTGATTGTCTTAAATTTTGTATAAAACAAACCACAAAACATAACTATGCACAGATATTAAAAATTAACATCTGGACAACACAAAGCAAAACAGACAGATTAGAAAAGGGGGAAAAAAACAAGAAAAATAACAGAGTAACGATCATACATTGAAATGAATATGTATTCTGCTGTAATTTGCAGGTGTTTCGTTGGGGCTCATAGTCCTGCACAGTGGCCTAGCTGCAACCGAGTGGTGGAGGCCATCTTCACAAGGCTCTGTGCCCTCTATCCAAACGTGGTGCGGTGTGATGGAGTGAGGGTGTCCCGCTTCACAATGGTGGTGCGTGCCTACAAGCACATCCGAGAGTGCATCCTCAACAATGCTAAGGTGATGAGCGAGACCACCATCCAGCTCCCAGAAGTTAACACTGCAACAGTCACACAATGGTGAGTAAATTAGCATTGTTCCAGCTAAGCATAAATTGAAGTGCCACACAAAGCGTTAAAGTCTTTTATGTGGTTGTCTTACAGTTTTTTTTTCAATCGCCAACAAGCGCTTACCCATACTTCAGATACTTTTTCGAAACTCTTAACACAGACTCACACCAACAAAACACAATTGGCCAAATGGATGATTTTCTTCTCAAAAACACATTTTGTTAAATATATACTAACTTTCAAAATAGAACACATCTTTCTCTACACACTAAATTTCCCAAAACACTGGAAATCTGAAAATGAAATTATTCTGTCAAAGAATAACACTTGTTTTCACTTCACAAGGTACATGCAGTCAATCAAAGTACACCAGGTTTCAAAATAATGGCTATTGTTGACATTACAAAAACTACATAGACTTTTATGTGTCAGTTTTACAGGTATTTGCATGCAAAAAATGCAATCCCCCGTTTTTACACTAAATTTCTTGGTTGGGACTTTTATGTCCACATTTACCGTACTGTTCACATTCAAAATCATTCCAGTAAAAAGCAAATCAGTTTTTTTCACCTCTCTCTGCACCTTCACCTCTCACTGCATCTCTCACTGCATCACTCACTCCGGCAGAAGAGCCGGAGCGGCTGTTCTGTCGGATAATATCTCTAAGACGTTACGCACCAGATGACTAATAAGTCAAAATCCAAATCACAGTCTTTGCTGTCCAAACTTAATTGATATACGTAGTGAAGAACATTATATAGAAACTGTGTCTATTCCTCGTTTAGTGAAGCCAAACAATAAATCTAGTGCAGGATCTAGCAAAAATCTTATTGTAATTAAACCAGAAAATCTAAATATCAGTGAACAAAAAGAATTTCTAAAGCTAGGTCTTCTAAACATTAGATCGCTCACACCTAAAGCGGTTATTGTAAATGAAATGGTCACAGATAATAATTTCGATATACTTTGCCTTACTGAAACCTGGCTTAAACCAAATGAGTATTTCGGTCTAAATGAGTCTACTCCGCCAAGATACTGTTATAAGCATGAGCCCCGTCTGACTGGTCGTGGCGGCGGTGTTGCAACAATCTATAAAGATATTCTTAATATTTCTCAGAAAACAGGTCACAGATTTAATTCGTTTGAAGTACTTATGCTAAATGTTACGCTCTTAGATGTAAGAAAGAAATCCATATTATCTCTAGCCTTGGCTACTGTATATAGACCTCCAGGGCCATATGCTGAATTTCTAAAAGAGTTTGCAGACTTTCTCTCGGATCTATTGGTCAATGTCGATAAAGCAATAATTGTTGGAGATTTTAACATACACGTAGACAACAAAAATGATGCCTTAGGGGCTGCGTTTACAGATTTATTAAACTCCTTTGGGGTCAAGCAAAACGTCCGTGGTCCCACTCATCGTCTAAATCATACACTAGATTTAATTATATCATATGGAACCAATCCAACTGATATAGATATTATACCGCAAAGTGATGATGTCACTGATCATTACATGGTAACGTGCATAATACGTACTGCTGAAATATGTCATGTTGCGCCACGTTATAGACCAGGCAGAACAATCCTTCCAACCACTATAGATAGATTCTCAAATAGCTTACCTGATCTATCTCAGCTGCTCAGTGAACCCAAACTAACAGATGAACTAGAGGAAATGACTAGCAGTTTGAGCACCATTTTCACTAGTACATTAGATATTGTTGCACCAATTAGATTAAAAAAGGTTAAAGAGAAAACTAAAGCACCATGGTACAACAGTGTTACGCATGATATCAAGAGAGAAACTCGTAACCTAGAGCGTAAATGGAAACAAACTAATTTAGAGGTCTTTAGAATCGCGTGGAAAGACAGTATGTCACGTTATAAAAAGGCTCTAAAAACAGCCAGGGCTGAGCACCTCCGCAAACTAATAGAAAATAACCAAAATAATCCAAGGTTCTTATTTAACACCGTGGCTAGACTAACAAATAAACAGACATCACCAGAGCAAAATATACCGTTACAGTTTAGTAGTAATGATTTTATGAATTATTTCAATGAGAAAATAGAAAGCATTCTAAACACAATTATAAATGTACAATCCTCTATGGTCTCTTATGATTCAGCCTCAATTATCGTCCCTCAAGAACAACTACACCGCTTTGCAACGATAGGACAGGAAGAGCTAAATAAACTTATTATTGCATCTAAACCAACAACATGCTCATTAGATCCAATACCCACTAAACTACTGAAAGAAGTGTTACCTGTAGTGGAAGAGCCTCTTCTCAATATTATTAACTCGTCTTTATTCTTAGGTCATGTTCCAAGAATATTCAAGTTGGCAGTAATAAAACCTCTCATTAAGAAACCGCAACTAGATCCAAATAACCTAGCAAATTACAGACCCATTTCAAATCTTCCATTTATGTCCAAAATACTAGAAAAAGTTGTATCCGCTCAACTGTGCTCTTTTTTGCAAGAAAATGATATCTATGAAAAATTCCAGTCAGGATTCAGACCGCATCATAGTACAGAAACTGCGCTAGTTAAAATTACAAATGATCTACTCTTAGCTTCTGACCAAGGCTGTATCTCAATACTAGTCCTACTTGATCTTAGCGCCGCGTTCGACACTATAGATCATAAAATACTCTTGGATCGACTACAAAACTACACTGGTGTTCAGGGACAGGCATTAAGCTGGTTTAGATCGTACTTATCTGACCGTTATCATTTTGTCTCTTTACACGGGGGAAAATCAAAGTTAACGTCAGTAGACTACGGAGTACCGCAAGGATCGGTGCTAGGCCCTCTGCTATTCTCAATATATATGCTGCCACTTGGTAATATTATAAGAAAACATGGAATTAATTTCCACTGTTATGCTGACGACACTCAATTATATATTTCATCACGACCAGATGAAAACATTACCTCATCTAAATTGACAGAATGTCTCAAAGATATAAAATGCTGGATGACGCGTAATTTCCTGCTATTAAATTCAGATAAAACGGAGGTATTACTTATTGGTCCAAAAAACTACACACAAAACCTCTTACAATACGACTTTAATATAGAAGGATGCCCTGTTACTTTTTCCACTACAGTAAAAGACCTGGGTGTTATACTAGACCGCAACTTGTCTTTCGAAAATCATATTTCATCTGTTACAAGAACAGCCTTTTTCCACCTTAGAAACATTGCTAAATTACGTAACATGCTATCTGTTTCTGATGCAGAAAAGTTAGTTCATGCATTCATGACCTCGAGACTAGATTACTGTAATGCTTTATTAGCTGGTTGTCCTGCATCCTCAATAAACAAGCTACAGTTAGTGCAAAATGCAGCCGCTAGAGTTCTTACTAGATCAAGAAAATATGATCATATAACACCGATTTTATCATCTCTGCACTGGTTACCTATTAAGTTCCGTATCAATTACAAAGTACTACTACTGACCTATAAAGCCCTTAATGGTTTAGCTCCTATGTACTTAACGGACCTTCTTTCGCCCTACAATCCACCGCGTTCTCTAAGATCACTAAATTCAAGGCTTCTGGTCATTCCTAGGATATCGAAGTCCACGAAAGGAGGGAGGGCATTCTCGCATTTAGCTCCAAAACTCTGGAATAGCCTTCCCGATACGGTCCGATGCTCTGACTCGCTGACACAGTTTAAAACTAGACTAAAGACGTGTCTCTTTAGTCAAGCATTCACATAATGCTTACCTTTTAGTCCTCTGCTATGCCATACGGAACCGTTTGCCACTGAAACTGCTTAACGCACCAGTGGGGCTCGACAGCCTTATAGACAAACGGGTCGGTCCGTATGGTTGCGGTTGGGTTGCGGAGAGTTGGGTTACGGAGAGTTGTGAGATTATGGTTTTCTAACACCTACTCCCGTGTAATGGAAATCATTATGAACATCAGCTATGCTAATTATTTCCCATCTGCCTTTCTGCTGTTATCTCGGGACGCTTGTCCCGAGAAAAATGGCGTTCGTAGGCTCCAGTTTGGTATCCTGCCTCTCACGGGGATTTCGGATGCCTCAACGCCTGTGATGAGAAGACCAACGCCTGTGAAGAGACGACTCAACGCCTGCGAAGAGACGACTCAACGCCGGCGATATGTTATCCCCTAAATATTACATGATTAACTAAATGTATTTTTCCAGGTACTCTCTGATATGGACTTACTGTAAAGCTTCTTTAAAACCCTATGATTGTTAGCCAGAGGAGAACTGGCCCCTGTTAGCCTGGGTTCTCCCAAGGTTTTTTTCTCCATCCAATCTGATGGAGTTTTGGTTCCTTGCCACTGTCGCCTTGCTTTTGGCTTGCTTAGTTGGGGATATTTAATATTCAACAATATTATTGAACTGTGTTGTACTACTTTCATGTTATCACTGTGAAGCTGCTTTGATGCAATCTGTATTGTGAAAAGCGCTATATAAATAAATGTGACTTGACTTGACTTGACTCACTGCATCTCTCACTGCATCACTCACTGCATCTCTCACTGCACCTCTCACTGCATCTCTCACTGCATCTCTCACTGCATCTCTCACTGCATCACTCACTGCATCACTCACTGCATCTCTCACTGCATCTCACTGCATCTCTTACTGCACCTCTCACTGCACATCTCACTGCACCTCTCACTGCATCACTCACTGCACCTCTCACTGCATCACTCACTGCATCTCTCACTGCATCACTCACTGCATCTCTCACTACACCTCTCACTGCATCTCTCACTGCATCTCTCACTACACCTCTCACTGCATCTCTCACTGCATCTCTCACTGCATCTCTCACTGCACCTCTCACTGCATCACTCACTGCATCACTCACTGCATCTCTCACTGCACCTCTCACTGCATCTCTCACTCCATCACTCACTGCATCACTCACTGCATCTCTCACTGTACCTCTCACTGCATCACTCACTGCATCTCTCACTGCATCTCTCACTGCATCTCTCACTGCATCACTCACTGCATCTCTCACTGTACCTCTCACTGCATCACTCACTGCATCTCTCACTGCATCTCTCACTGCATCTCTCACTGCATCACTCACTGCACCTGCATCTCTCACTGCTCCTGCATCTCTCACTGCATCACTCACTGCATCTCTCACTGCATCTCTCACTACACCTCTCACTGCATCTCTAAAGCAATGATACACGAGACAAGGGTGAGATCAATTGCTCTGTGATCTCAGCTGTGTCTTGCTGTTGCATCATAGTCATGATCAAACAGTAGTTGAACACACCATCTTTTGTATTACTGCTTAAATGTTTATTCAAATTGGTTGCTTTATGTTTTCCCAGGTACAGCAGGCGTTGTAAGTCACAGGAACAGGAGATATTGAAACAGGGTATCCAAGCCCCTGAAGCACCCATGGCAGGACCTGAGAACCTTCCTGCTGCTATGCAGAAAGGACCGACTCTCTGTTCCAGCAATTTGTCAGAGCCACACCTTTTTATCCTGCCACCAAATACTGCTGGGGAGGCTAAACTCAAAGGGAGGTCGCAACCTCAGGCCATCTTCCAGGCTCCACCATCACATCAAGGACTTCCTGTCCCTATTGCACCAGCACCACCTGTCTCTCTCCCTTTCATTTTACCACCTGTGCAGCTTCCTACAGTTCCTGGTACCTCACAGGTGATGTTCTTCAACCTCCCATTACCTTCAGCTATGCCACCATCAGCTCAGACACAGACATCCAGTCAACCGGTTCCTTACTCCACTCAGCAATATAGAAAGAGAAAACAGAAGAGGGAGAGCGCTGGAACAGTGACAAGAAAGTATGTTAGGAAGACAGACGTCATTCTTTGCAGAAAGTGCAATAAGGAGAGAAAGCCACCAACACATCTGCAGTACTTTGGCAACTGGTACTGCGAAGAGTCTGAGACTAAATCATATGATGAATGGAGAGCTGTGCTGATGGAACGAGGTTATAGGAAAAAAAAGCCAGGAAATGACAACCCTCCAGCTTCTTAAAATTGCTCTTTCAGCATGTTATTTTTATTTATTTATTTGATTAATGTTTGATTATACAACATAACAACGACAGTTGTCTTTAAAATGTATAACAACTATGTGTGTGATGCCTTTTGAATAATTTTTAAACATGGTTGGTGTGTGTGTGTGTGTGTGTGTGTGTGTGTGTGTGTGTGTGTGTTGCGCGCATGCATCTGTGAGTAGGATGGGGATAATGGGTGTTGTGTTTGTACCTTTATTTGTGTTTTATTCATTTTACTTTTCTTACACTTTATTTGATTACATTTGTTTACAGTTTTTAGAATAGGAGTGAAAGACCGGTATACTGTATCAGGTAATTTAATTCTTATTGGAGTTAAGTAAAATACTTGGCCCAGTGAAAGAAACTACAGTATCCAGAGATTGGTGGTCCATTGTTTTAATGGTCCTGTTAGTAGCTGTCACAGGGCAACAGGTGGTTGCCTGGATGAGAACAGTTTATTTTAGTTATTTTGTTACGTTAACTTATGCCTTAAGTTATTTATGTACCTGATTATCATTAATATCATCATTATTACTATTATTATTAATAATAATATATATTTTTAATAATAATAATAATAATAGATGAGAAGCATTTGTTTAGTTTATTTATGTTTAGCTATGCCTTAAGTTATTTATGTACCGGAATGTGATTATATTAAAAAATTTTAATGGGTTTGGATGTTTCTGTGTTTTTTCTTATTCATCTACTTCCTCTTTTCATTATTATTATTGTTTACTGTATTATTGACTACAACAACTACACTAAAATTATATACACATTTTAATTTCTGGGCAACAGGTGGTCGCCTGGATGAGAAGAGTTTATTTTAGCTATTTTATTATGTTAACTTATGCCTTAAGTTATTTATGTACCTGATTATCATTAATATCATTATTACTATTATTATTATTAATAATAATTATAGATGAGAAGCATTTAAGTTATTTATGTACCTGATTATCATTAATATCATTATTACTATTATTATTATAATAATATATATTTTAAATAATAATAATAATAATAGATGAGAAGCATTTATTTATGTTTAGTTATGCCTTAAGTTATTTATTATTATTACTAATACTATTATTAATATTACCAGTTTTAATAATTGTTGTGATTGTATTAAAAAAATATAATGTGTTTGGACGTTTTTGTGTTTTTCTTCTTCATCTTCTTCCTCTTATAATTATTATTATTATTGTTTACTGTATTATTATATACAAATGTTAATTTATACACATGACAGAATTATCTGGACTTAAATGTGTAGTTAAATAACATTTATCCTAATAATTAACATTAGTCATAAAAAGTTTGGACGAGCGGGATTCGATCCTGCGATCTTTGGGTCAATTTCAGGCAACTTTTGACAGCTTAGATAGACATATGTGCGCCGCGCTTGGTGCAATGGATAACGCGTCTGACTACGAGTCAGAAGATTCCAGGTTCGACTCCTGGCTGGCTCGCTCTGCCTCTTTTGCTTCGCTGTCAGCCCATAGCCATTTTATTATTATTAGCCCATAGTTTTTGTTATTATTATTATTGGATTAGTTGAATAATGTTTTAAATTGACAGTCCAACAATAGGCTGCTTTGTCAGTGGGATAACGGTTACCATACAAATACGATCATTCCCATATTCTTAAAGGGGGGCGGTCACACACTAAAAGCCAAAGGGCCTGCTTGAGCCTTGAGGAAGTTCCCATATGGTCTAGCGGTCAGGATTCCTGGTTTTCACCCAGGCGGCTCGGGTTCGACTCCCGGTATGGGAAGTTCGTGTTGTCTTTGCTTCACTTATGGAAACAGCCAGGACGTCTCTCTGTGCCACTAGCACTTTTAGCCGGCAGGCGGAGCTTTCGAAACCTGATAGGTTTAGGTTCTGTCCCCAAACAATGTGCCTTCGATAGCTCAGCTGGTAGAGCGGAGGACTGTAGGTGGCAAATTGGCAATCCTTAGGTCGCTGGTTCGACTCTGGCTCGAAGGAGGTCTTTTTCACAAGCAAACATTTCATTGGCCATGCTTCTCGATAACGGTTACCATACAATACCATGCGTCTTTTCAGATGCATTGCATGGGTACTGTCACAAGGACCTTGCTTTAAGACAAGTTTATAGTGTCTATTATGCCAGCACAGGAATGGGAGGAAACTGAATCCCCTGGGCGAGGCAAATGCACTCAAGGCTGCCTGACTGGTGGGCCAGTGGTGCAATGGATAACGCGTCTGACTACGAATCAGAAGATTCCAGGTTCGACTCCTGGCTGGCTCGCTCTGCCTCTTTTGCTTCGCTGTCAGCCCATAGCCATTTTATTATTATTAGCCCATAGTTAGGGCCCAAGCCCAAAGGGCGAAGGCCCTATTGTTTTCCTTAGGATTATTTATTAGGGCCCAAGCCCAAAGGGCGAAGGCCCTATTGTTTTCCTTAGGATTATTTATTATTATTATTATTATTATTATTATTATTTTTCTGCTACCTTTTGGACACTTTTGGAGGCCTTAACATGCTCAAAAACTCCTGAAACTTTGCACACATGTCAGAACCCGCGGCCATCAGGGCCGGGCTGAAGATGGTACCCGGGCGTGGCAGGGGGGCTCGACAGCGCCCCCTGGAACAGGGTCCGAAAACATGGTCCATAAATCAAACACGCTTGCATGTAATAATATGAAACTCGGTACACATGTAGATCTCCTCGTTTCATATATACTTCACACTCTTACTTTTTACCCCAGCCCAACAGGAAGTCGGCTATTTAGGGTTGTTGGTAAAACACACGCAATGGAATGTGAAATACTCCTCCTAGAGAATTCAAACAAACGGCACGAAACTCGGTCAGCATGAAGTCAAGACATTGAGGATGAAAGTTTGCGAGGGGATTTTTGATATCTCGAACGGTTTGGCCGTGGCGAGGAAACAAAATTATGGCGAGAAACGTGAAACAGGAAGTGTGTCATAACTACTGCATACATTAACTGATCTTGATGAAACTTCAACAGTGTGTTCGTTGTAAGAGCCCGATCACATGGATGTGACTATTGTGAGTCAAAGTTATAGCGCCACCAACTGGCAGCAGGAAGTGTGTCACTTCCTAAATGCTTTGAAATCACCCTCTTATTTTTACCCGATTTGCTTCAAACTTTATGTGTATAATGTAAACACACGGCAGATGTAGACCTGTGAAAGGATTATTGATATCTTAGATACTGTTGCCGTGGCAACACATCAAACTTTAATATTCTTGTTTGATGCTTTTGAGACTCTTAGCATGCTTGAAATTGCATGAAACTCGACAGACACAGGTATGCATATGGTTCAGATCAAGCCGGACAACTTTCTAATTAACTGTCATTAGCTCAGACCAAGAGGAAGTTAGATATTTTGGTTTGAATGTGGATGTTTCTGAGAATTTTCTCTCCCTCTCCCTCTGACAGAGAGAATGCACCCTGCCATTCGTGTGTGTCTGTGTCTGTGTCTGTGTGGGGAGGGGGGGAGGGGCTCTTTTAGTTTAAACACAAAATTATACATAGGGCCATACTGCCCTCTTGTGTCCAAAATTATATTTATATATACATTATACATATATTTGGTATGTGACTGAGGACCGAGAGCTTTTAAATACGGGACATTGATAATGGCCACGTGCAGAGCGCTCGAGGGAATTCCTATGGAAGTAGGAATGAACTAAAAAACGTTCGCTCTGTTCTGCTCGCTCGTCGCCATGGACGCGCACCATTATGAATGCCAGTGCAGCCGCATACTTTTTAGTGTCACTTTAAAATTAGTGCAATAACGGGGCCGATTGCTTGAATTGTGAGTTCAATAGTCTATTATTTTTCACGGAAAACACAACAACAAAAGAGTACAATGATAGATTCGCTTAAATAGGGGCTTTTACATAAAATAGCCTATTCCGTCATCATCTTTTCAGTCAGCTCTTCACTCTCGTGATTAATGAAATTTGACTCCTGTTGCTGATATTTGCTGCAACTTTCGTTCCGCTCACAATTTAGTAAGCAAACACGCTTCAAATGTGTTTTTATTTTATTTTTGTGTGTGTATATATATATATATATAGCTTATGTTTCAAATATGAGTTAATTAACAATCGTTGGAAAGAATGATACTTTTAATATCACTAAACCGTCATTAGGTGTCGCCAGGCGACCGTCTTAATGAGCGAGTCATTGATTCATTCGTTCAAACGATTCGTTCGAACGGCTGAGTCATTCATGAATGAGACAGATTATGGATTGGTCGTTGAATCTTTGAGTCAACCGATTCGTTCAAAATGCTGAATCATTCAGTAATGAGAACGCGTTGCTGTGAGATGCTCGATGGTTCTGCTGTGATCTTTGTTTAACTATTTTCGCTGCTGAAACAGAAAAAAAAGTCAATATTGCATCTAAAATGTAAGTGATTTGACGTGTGTGTGTGTGTGTGTGTGTGATTGTGTCTGTTACAGTGATTGTTTAACCCTTGTTAAAGTTTAGGCCTTGTCTTTTTGGATATATATCTTTTTATATAAAAAAAAATAGCATACAACCCATGTATTTTAAATGTATTGTTTGCTTTAAATTACATTGAGATTTGTATGTTTGGTAATTGAACCTGAATGAATTATAAATGAATGTGCTATATTTCAGATCATATATTTGTTTTCCTTAAAATTTGAACTAACACTAACTTTATTCTCATCTGAATGATAGATTATTTATTTCTGTATAAAATAAAAACACATTTGATTTTTCTTTTTTAATCAATGTAGAATGTGTAACTGAAAAAATAAACAGATTAGGGCTCTGATCGAGGACAATAATGTCAAAAAAAGAATCAGGGCATGTCTCATATCTTTCTAAAATGTAATTATACACCATTTATTTTTATATAAAATTATACAAATATTAGAACTAAACCCATTTTATTCCTTTTTTTCAATTTAAGAATTATTTTTAAGTTTAAAAACAGCCAGAATGGTTGTTTAGTC